CATTGATCTCATGTCATTAATCGTGAAGCCATAACATCTAAATTCATTAACATCTTCAATAAATGTCAATTCATAACTCCCAAGTCATATAAGTTTAAACCTATAAACATTGAGCACAAAAATTTGTAGAGGCATTTTTTATATCTCTCTACCCCTTACCACCCACAAAAAACATGAGTCCCTCAAGAAACATAATAACACTAACCATTGTCCTTCCTTTCTTCTTCCTCATTCTTTCATCCACAAAAGCGCAGACAAACAACCAAACCATAAGCCCCAATCCCCTTCCAAACCCCAACCCTTACGAAACCGTAAACAATTTTTGTCTCCACAAACGGCTTAATGTCGCCAAACCGTTTTGCCTCAGAGTCCTTAAGAACCCTAATGCCGCAAACGCAAAAACAAACGACCTTAATCCCCTCCTCCAAGTTGCCATAAACTCGACCTCATCGTTTGTAAATCGAACCCTCAATCAACTCTTGGATATGTCTGAGGACCTCACGACAAAACCCGATTTGATCCCAGCCATCGATAGTTGCCTCGCATCTTACGAAAACATAGCAGAATATATCAAAAACGTTTTGTTGGATGCTTCTCAAGAGTCAACCATTGCAGGATTAGACGGTGAGGTGATTGTGGAATATATAAATGGATGCATAAAGGCCGTAGCTAGGACAAATGATCCAGACATTGGGGACTGGAATAACGAGGCCAAGAGTTATGCCAAGCTGTTGATAGACATTGCTGATGGTCTCACCAGCAAAGAAGCTAAATAAGATATTAACATTTTGAGAGAAGAACATATGGTTATATGCTTATTGAATGGAACATATTAATTTGATTATTATTAAGTCTAGGTGTCTCGTAANTTCATTCTTTCTATTCTCTTTTCCTTGTATTTTCTTACTTCCTTTCACAGTTCACACAGATCTAGAAAGTACACTGTAAAACTAAAAAAGAATAAAAATAACAACAAAGTACAAAAATACAAATTCTGAACATTTCCGAAGCCCTGTATAGGAAATGTATACACTATTACACTAAATATGCAGAAGGTTAAACGTACAGTTTTCCATGGTCGTGCCAAAGCTTTTCATCAAGTAATACACAGTGCATGCACAGGTAAGCAACGCTGTATTTCATCTTCACCATCTTTTTCTGCTCAGAAACTGAATTAACTGTAACCACACGAGAAATACTGAATTAGATAGAATGAGAACAACCAATCAGCTCCATAATTCCCCTAAACACATCATGATACAGTGGCCGTAAATGACACTTAAACCCATTCCAGCTTGCCTTGATACTCCACGAGGTGTAAGATTCTACCATTGGGTAAAAGATCGAGGTTTTTCACTTTAGCGGGCCTGGTTCTGTACTTCACTTCAAACCGTGGCAACTGTTTATCATGCTCTTCCATATCCGTAGACATATCGGGTGGGACCTCATCAAGGAACTCATCAGCAATATCACCATCTTCATCCATCCTAAGGCGCCTTGCATACCATCTCAAACCCTGTAATGTATAATTAAGAAATACAATTAACGATACGCATACTTGCCAAAAGTAATAAAGGGAATAAAAGGCATGAAAATGAATTCATAATAAATAAGTAATTCTCAAATGTATATGTCAACGATGCCTTCAAATATGAATAAAGAAACGGTACTTTGTATTTTTTAGGGATGTACAGATGAACTGAGTTGAGCCGAGTCGAGCAATGGCCTTATTACGAAAGCTTAATTTTTTTCACTACTGCTCCAGCTCGACGAGCTGAGATTTTTAAAGCTCGGCTAGGCTCGACTAAAAAAAAAATACACAAATGCTCGAGATAGGGTCGGATTAAATGCGCCCNAAAAAAAAAAAAAAAAAATCTATTAAATTAGGATTTTTCTCAAGTTTAGCTGGAATCTAGCTCGAGTTTGGGGGCATTTAGATAAATTACACTTATATTCGAGCGGCACATCCAGCACTCGAGCTTATGACATATAGGCTCGAGCTTGGCTGAAGTTTATGTTCAAAGTCCATCTCTAGTCCGTCCCCTCCCCTCTGCCAACCTCCAACTTCTTCCCATACCCACTATCCCGTCCGTCCTGCCTCTGTTCTTCTGCCACCGCTGGCAAAACACACGAGAAGCTCCACATAGACATACACACACACAGAAAGATATGAACCACGGCACACTCCAGATTCCAACCATCATACATTCTACCACCACCATCACCCCAAACCACCACACCCTTTGTATTCACCAAATGAGATGAACCAGTATCTGCCCTAACTTTAAGTGATAGGTAACACATATATCAACCGAGGACTACTGAAATGGGCTATGATCGGGATATGGCGAAAATGATCATATAGAATCTGGGAGTTGGCTGTTAACTGAGATAGATGGAAATGGCGACAAAAGGTGGCGGTTTTCGTCAGTCTTTTTTCGGAGTAGAAAACAGATTTGACGACTGAAATTGAGGGTGGGATTAGACTAGAAAAAAACAAGAACAGAGTGACGATGTCCTCATATTGTTTATCCTGAAACTCATCCAGAGCTTTGCCGGACAGCCTAACCCTCAAGCTCGAAAACCTAAATGAGTTGACACCAAATCACCATAACAAAGATCCCACCATTATCCCTTACAATTTTGGTAGTGGTAGCTAGCCGAAAGTTTATGGTTGAGGAAGAGGGGAGGAAGTTGGCCGTTAAGGCGCTAGTTCAATGTGTGTGTACGGGCAGGGAAAAAAAATGAAAAAACGACAAAAAATTAAACAAAGTTATTTATTTATTTATTTTGCAATNACCAAGAGAAACACGTTAGCAAATTTGCCTGAAAATATGGTTAGGTGATGTTGACATGTCAAAATCTGACAAATCTAATTTTTTTTGGCGAGTGGATAGCTAAATAGCAGCCTTTATATACTTGCAGGATAATTGAGTTAAAAGCTATCAAGAGGGCAATTGGTAAAAAGACATAACTAGTTAAAATCGATTTTGATTGGATCATGAGTTAAAGTAGGTTATTTTGAATAAAGTATTTGAGAGGGATGAGAAAGATTGTAATTAAATAATATTTAAAATGTAATGATTAAAGCTGATGTGATGTGATGTGAACGTAGGAGAGAAATTATGAAAGTGATAGGTAGTTAAAAATATGTGTGGATAAATAGTGAACTAAAGTTGATGTAGTGTAGGAGAAAGATGTTGATATTACTTAATCACATTGATAATATTGAGGATAGTGGGGTTGGGTTATATTTTGAGTTAAAGTGAGTAAAAAAAAACTGATCCAATCAAAATTGATTTTAACCAGTTTTAACTCCTTACCAATCACCCCCTAAACTTCTTTGGGTCCCAAAGCAAGATTAACTTCAGCATTCAGAATTGCCTCATTGCCTCAGGACTTGGTCTAGAGAATCTCATAAAAATAGCATTGTACCCTAGAAGGCCTCTAAGTAGCAGAATGTACAACACCCAGTTTGAGCTTCAGCTTCAGAAACATCCAACCTCCCTCAATCTGTGGAATTTATTTGTATTTGTGTGTTTTAAGTACATATTTACACATAAACTTGACCCGCAACATACAGATGAAATGATCCCATGGAATCACATTGACTTCATTACAGATCAAAGAGAATAGGAAACATCCTTATAGGAAGAAGCTTAAAGACGGTTAAAGGACAAGTTGCACAAACTTTTTCTTGCGCGTTTTAAAGACTTCTGCGGTTTTTCATACTCTACACAGATTACATCTCGCAGCTGCTCGCCTTTTGCTTTACCAAGAAAACTATCATACTACTATAGAGAGAGCCCACTACAAGGAATCAGGTTTTGTGATTCAAAAATGTTTAGCATTTGCTTCTCGATGTTGAAAAAATAAAATTATAACCTGACCCAAATCAGAATATCTTGGCTTTTAGGTGACAACTTAAAGATCTTGCCACACAACTTAGCTCAAGAATTTGCTCGAACTTGACCAAAACGATGACAAACCTAGACAGGACTATAAGAAGGCTCCCTAAACTACAGAATTACAAAGACCAAAAAGAAAATATCTTAGGAAAACCCTCGCCAGATCAGAAAAACAAAAACTTACGCTTAACATTCAAATGCTTAGTGTTGAAAATTCTAGCCCACCTCCACCCAAAATTGAGGAGTTCTAGCATAGAAGGGGAAGAAAAATAAACTTCAACGCATCAACTAAACCAAAACAGTAATTAAACGAACAAATAAAAAGAGAAAACGTGCATCGCGTTAATTCCCTAACTGAACAGACCTGAATTCCGCCGTCCCCGGCAGGGCAGAACACGAGTAGCGGAGGAGGTGGGGCCCGCTCGACGGGGACTTGGACGGGGACACTGAAGCCTCTGCGAGGCAGATGCTGAGCTGAAGCGAATGCGGCCGGAGGAGCCGTCCCCGGCGTCGATGACGACGGGATGGTGGCGTCCGAAGCTGCATCGTCATGCTGCAGTTGTTCTTCATCTCGTGCAAACCCTAGCAACCCCGCGAGTCTCTTAAACAATCCCATAATCCCCAGCCCAACACATATATACAATTGCAATAGTGCTGATTTAGGTTTATGGGATTGCGAGATCAACAGTGGAATTGTGTTCTAGAGATTTTATGGGAAACCTGACAAAATGTTGATGATGAGCACTTGGAGGAAAAGATGCGGTTAGTTTGCCTTAAAAGTCAGTTATGCTAAAAGAGACAAAAATAGAAGGGTATAGTGGGTTTCATTTTAAAAGTCTATTTTTTACGTGTCATGTATTTTTTTTTTTTTTTTAATAAATCGAAAGTATTGTGAATGTTCTAATGCAATCCATATACCTCAAATACTTCAAAATTTAATCACATTGAACAAGAGCAGGGGTAAGTAGGAAGTTGGAGCTGTGGAAGGACGCGTTAGAGTCGAAAGGCTTCAGACTTAGTAGGACGAAGATCGAGTACATGACGTGCGCTTTCAGCATGGCTTCACATGATGATGGTGACGTTACCCTTGACGGGCAAATGGTGGCCAAGAAGGAGACTTTCCGGTATTTGGGATCGATGCTACAAAAGGATGGCGGCATTGATGCTGATGTTAGGCATAGAATTGCAGCCGGTTGGTTGAAATAGCGTCAGGCGTCGGGCATTCTCTGTGATAAGAGGGTGCCACAAAGGCTAAAAGGTAAGTTCTATAGGACGGCGATTCGCCCGGCGATGCCATACGGTGCTGAATGTTGGCCTACAAAAAGGCAACATGTCCAACAACTAAGTGTAGCAGAGATGCGCATGTTGCGTTGGTTCTGTGGGCACACAAGAAGGGATAGAATCCAGAATGAGGATATTCGAGATAGGGTCGGGGTGGCCCCAATTGAGGAGAAATTGGTTCAACATCGGCTGAGGTGGTTCGGACATGTCCAACGGAGGCCTCCTGATGCACCGGTGTGTATGGGAGTTCTACAGCGGGTCGAGGATGTTAAGAGAGGTAGAGGTCGGCCTAAACTCACTTGGGAAGAGTCGGTTAAGAGAGACCTTAAAGATTGGAATATCTCCAAGAATTTAGCGGTGGATAGGAGCGCTTGGAGGCTCGCTATCAACGTGCCAGAACCGTGACTTTTGCTCCTTTCTCTCTCTCTCTCTCGTTTTTTTTTTCGATCTCTTCCTTTTGGTTCGAGTCTTTTTGTGTTTCTCTTGGGTTTCATCTCTAGCCTACCCCGACTTACTTGGGACTAAAGGCTATTTTGTTGTTGTTGTTGTATTGAACAAGAAAAAATTACAAAATTAGTCTCAAATGATTGTACGAGTTGCAAATTTAGTCCCACGAATTGCAAAAATAGTCCTTTAATTATTTTTTTGCACTTGTAGTCACATTATTGTTAAGAGTTAACGAAACACTAAGGGCGTGCTTGTTTATGAAATATTTCATTCAAAATGAGTTATTTTAGTTAACTAGAGTTAATTTTGAAAAGTGTAGTATGGTTAATTATTAGTGGGATATAAATGATTGGAAATGATTATTAATGATTTGATGTAAAAGTAGGATATAAATGATTGGAAATGAGAGGTAGTTAAAATTATGTGAGTGGATGAATAGTGAATTAAAGTTGATGTGATATGTAAGAATGATTGGTTTATAATATTTAATTATATAAATAATATAAATGATAGTGGGGTTGAGTTAAAGTTGAGTTAGATTTTGAGTGGAAAATGAATTATTTCATAAACAAGCATGCCCTAAAGAGTCGTTAGATGATTCGTACAAAAGAAAATTATTGCAAAATTGGTTCCATATAATAAATTGCAAATTTAGCTCCAAGTTTGACAAAATTTGTTCTAACTATTTATTTTTATTGCAAAAATAATCCTATTTGCTTTGAATATTATGATACAATATTAGAAAAATTATTATTCTTTTAAATTATGTATTTTGCATATTATTTTATTTTTAAAGTATTTATAGATTTTAGAAAATATAAACAACATGACTTGTTAAAATTATTAGTTATCGTTTCTAAGTTAGTAACATATTGTCAATATGTCGTAGTTATAGAAAGTCGATTATTGAAATAGGAGCAATAATAGAAAATTAATAACAAAGGCGATAAAATACTACTTGTATTTAAAATATATATATATATATTGGATAAATATTTTTATATATTAAATTACAAATAATTTGAAATAAAAACATGGATAATAATGTAATTAAAGTTATAAAATCGCTAGGCCTTTTGTTATGCAGCGAGCTGGTGCCTATCACTTAGACTAAAATTAGTCTAGACCTCGTAAAAAATATTAATAAATTTGTTTATATCTATTTTCATACATAATTTACAAGTTATATTATATGTAATATATTAATTAATATGATGAATATACAAAGATTATATAAAATATCATATATCAAGAACGATTATACTAACTTTAATATAATTATTATTTTTTATTTTAAAACTAGTATATATTTTATGTATAAACTTAAAACATATTTTATCGTAATTTGAATTTAAATTAAAAAATAAAATAGGCAACTAGAGGTCGCCTAGCCCACCTTGATGACACTTAGTCAGTCGACCTTATAAGAGTTTCTTAGAACATCCACAACCCTTAACAAAAAAATTATTCAATAAAAAAATAATACTCTCTCTCATCCACATCATCTCCATATCATCTTTCCACTAAATCTCTCTCCATTTAAACACACATGACACACCCACATTCCTACACATTCATTTAAATACATATGTGGGACCCATTATCCACTCATTCAATATAATTTTTTATATTCTTTTTTTTAACGAAACAATAGAAAATATTATATAACAAAAACGCACAAAAGTGCAAAGTACACAGCCCATGGCCGAAAATACAGCCAACAGCTGAATAAAACTGGGAGGACAGGTCTAAAAGACCGCCTAGAGACGACTAGCAACGCTAGAAAGAAAACTCACAATCACACAACACAAACAACCTAACTACGGAACGACCCCAAACGAGGTAATGTGGAACGACCCCCAACGAGGTAATGTGGAACGACTCCAACGGAGTAATTCCTCGCACAGGGGCCAAGTGACCCAAACCTAAAAAACCAGACCAGAACAAACCAAAACAGCCTAATCCAAATCGAAACACTAACATATAAAACAAGAACACAAAAACACTAAACTAAATAATCTAATAGCCCTTCCGCAGCGAACGAGTAAGCCCGGACTAGAGAGTGCACGATTGACACAAGACCAATCCAGACCAAGCACCAGCTACTGAAACTGCAATTAAGCCTATACAGTAGCGGAACCCAATCCCTAACCAGTCCCCGAATCAACCGATCGACAACCGAATCAACTCCGAGCTCGAACTAATCCCAGAATCGACCCGTCACCAACCGAGACCCGCACCATTCCTGGCCCGAACCCGTCTAACACCACTAGACTAGCTCGGAAAAAACCAGGTCCCCCCGCCGCCTAACACCACTAGCCGAACAGGGGGAGAGGGCAAAATGGCACGGATCCCCAACCTCGACCGCCACCACAGGACAACTGCGCAGCAACCGAGTCCTCTTCCCATCCTCAGACCCACGCACCACCGAGACCGCCATTGAACTCCGGTGGCCAACAGCCAAACCCCCACCTGAAGCTCTGTCGGAGAAAACAGAACCGACCGGAGGGAGCATCAATCTCAGGCGAATACAGAGAGATAAAGGCTTACCACTGCCAATCGAAGGTCCGCCGGCAACTTGAATGTCATCGCGCACCGGAATCCGATCAAAAGTGACGAGACCTTGGAACTCTAATTCACCGTCGCTCGAGGGGCACACCACGCAGGGCCGCAGCGAATCGGGCCGCACGACATCCAGGACGGGAAGAGCGGTTAGTGGCGACCGCTAGCCAGACCTACTGTCACCGAGGAAGGCAAAACGCCGGCAATTTGAGGGGCTGCGGGTAGGGTTTTTCGAATCGCAGAGAGAAGAGAGAAGAGGGGCTGGCTATTTGATGCATATAATTTCTAATTTTTTATATTCTATTCTCAATAAAAATAAATTTTAAAATTTTTAAATTAAAATAATAAATTTTAAATGCATGAAAATGAAAGAACATTAAAAGACCAAAATAACTTAAATTAAAAGTACAAAAGAAAAAATAGTACAATTACAAAAAATATTTTTTTAGTTATTGGCAAAGAAAATACATAATTATTTTAAAACAACAAAAAAAAGAAAAGGAAAATAAGCACACGCAACAATAATTAAAACAAAAAGAAAAAGAAAAAAAAGGAAAAAGGCATAAAATGAGCGTTCAATCCATTGAATGGATAAGTGGTCCCCTTTTTAATGGATGAGCCGTATCCGGATAAACGCGGGGACGTTTAAATGGAAAATAAAATGAACGCGATGCGGATGCTCTTAGACAAAAGTTATTGCGCCTAGGTGTCGTGTAGCATCTAACCTAGTTTATAAAATACTGAATGTAATTGTAAATTTGCATACAATGGTAATATGAAATAATATTAATTACAATGATATTATGATTTATAAAAATTGATAATATTTAGATAAAATCACTAATATCAATTTTTTTATATATTATCTTAAAAAATGTTACTTTATAGTTTTATTTTATTAACCCTTAGAATTACAAAAATTATGTAATTAGTTTTATCGTTGTGTTTTGCATTTAAAAAATAGTTTGAGAAAAAGACAATATTATATGATGATCTTATTGTAAACACTAATACAACATACACACGTAAAATAATATTCTTACGATGACATGATGTAAAGAAAATAATAAGAAATCAAAAATTTATAAAAAAATGTAAGGCTCAAATATAAAAATACAATTTGGTGAAACAATTATTAAAATTAATAAATTTTTGAAAGAACGTTGCGAATTTGGTCCCGCAAATTGGCCAAATCGCAAAATTGGTACCAAGTTGTAAATCAAAACCCCATTTTTACTAATGGTATGGCTAATGATGAGACTAAACTTGTCAAGAAAAAAAGTAAAAGACCATTCTTGCAATTTGTGGGACCAAATTTGCAATACGCCCAATTCTATGGAACTAAATTTGTAATTTTCTCTACTGAATAAAATAAGAAAAAAAAATATGGTTTGTGTAATGTTGATCCTTCAATGCTGGACGGACCATGTTATGATTTACGACAAACAAGTCGATATTATATAATTCAAAGAGTAAATTACAATGGATGATCAACTGATGATAAGAACATATCTTGTACAAATAAGATGAATACAGCTACTACTTCATCTACGATGGAGTAGACATTACTCCCCTTGAATAACCGTTTAAGGTAACCGTTTAAGGGTAAACAATAAGACCTAGAATAACACACTTCGTCTACAATATAAAAGAACAAAAAGAGAAGGAGCACAACAAGCAATAAATATCTGTTACTATATTTGCAACTTTAGAGGCAAAAGATACTCGGTTGATTAATTGTCGAACCATCTTCTCTAAGTTCGAGCTGAGAATCATTAGTATGTCAACATAAGACATAAACAATCAAAGTTGAACTAACATAACAATAACTCAATAGTTAAGTCAATAACTAAACATCAAAGTATATCATCAGACTACGAAGTTCTACAAAAAAATCTTATCAGGGCTAAAGATAATATTAGAGCAGTACCCATATCACATATTAGAGCATATATATAAAACATTTTTGTTAGTTTATACGATAAAAGTGGTAAAATTAGATGATAAGCTAGATAAAATGAAAATTTTGAAGAACTTATTTGAAAAGATCAAGGAATTTTGAAGAACTTATTTGAATACTGGAAGCTTATAGCTAATAAAATAAGCAATTAAGTGTTTATATACTTACCAAAAGGCGTGGAGGTTGCGAGGCCTTTGCTGAAAATCACATTAAGTTCGCCAACTGCTGGGATTATATGATTGCAATCTACGAAAAATCGCTCAAGCTAATCAGCTTCTAGCGAAATTCACCCCAAAAATCACTCCGGTTAAGTTTACCGACTCCTTTGAGCTCGGAACGTCTCTACTGCATATAAGAGTGGAATTAATCTACTGCATATAAGAGTGGAATTAATGGCGGCGGAGAGTAGCAGTAATCGGGGGAAGAAAGAGTCAACGGCAGCATTATCAAGCTCGCCGCGCCAAGACGACGACGTTAAGGATCTCGTTAAATCCCTTCCACATTCCCCAAACAATTCATCCACTAGTAAGGTCTGCGCATTCACCACTCGTGCTTTCTTTGATTCATGGGCTGTTTACTCCCCTATGCATATATTTTTACGCACATACACATCACACACATACTTGAATATGGTTGGGAGCACTTTCCTATTCTCTAGCGGTTGCTGACTAGTTATTATGGGAAGTAGTTGCTTACACGAATTAAGATTTTTTTTTTGGTTGGTTGAATTTTGGGGCAAAAAAAAAAAAGGTTTCGAGTTATACAGAACGAAATATTGCCTGATTTGACAAATTTGTGTTAGAGTGATTTTGTGAATATTGTATTTTTGGTATAGATAGATTTTGGTATCTTAGAGATTTGGTGTATATTGGTTTTAGGGCTTCCTTTGTATCTATATATTCCACTCTTGTGAATCTCGGAAAGCAATGTGTTGTGAAACGAATTGGTGTTTACATATTTTGTCATGGTATCAAAGTCTGGTTATTTTTTTTTTTTCATTACAGAGCCTTTCTCCAAAAAAAATAAAATAAAAAATAAGAAGTTATTTCTGGTCTCTCTTAACCTCGATCAACAGAGGCGGTTCTTTTTTTCTTCTCTCGATCAATTAGTGTCAATTGTGGGTTGGAATTTTCCAATCTCATTAGTAGTGAAAATTCTTTATTAATGTTATATTCTTTCTTTCGCAATTGGATCTGACAAGTTGAGTATACAACTTGACTAATGATCTTTAAATCTTATTCATCCCTTTTCGTTTCTTGATTTCTCGATCGTCCATCAAAGTCGAACCAGTTAAAAAAAAAATCCTTATTTTTGTGAGTTGTGCGTGAACGTTTGTAAAAAAAAATAAAAAAATAAAAAAAATCCCAACGTGAGTTATGGGAGAACTGGGTAATGAGAGAACTGCTGCTCAAGCCGAGGGACGAGCTGGTCGTGGCAGACGCGATGACGGATCAACCACTGCCGGCTTTGTCAACGTCGTCTTCGGGAACGGGAGTGCACTTAGTACCTCTGGCTCCATACATGATGGGCCAACATCCTCATTAACGGATTCCGATCGAGCGGTTATTTCTGGCATAACAGATGCCCAATGGGAGTCTATTGTACACCTCTTCGCCCGCAACAATGCTCCTTTGTTCGTAATCATAGTCCTTATGAGTGGATGTATGATAGTGGTGCCTCACATCATATGACGGGCTACTTGGAATTTTTTTCTGATATTCGGGATATTCCGCCCCGGTCTGTGCAGTTACCTAATGGCATGCTCACAACTGCGTGTAAAGCTGGCACTGTTCATCTCGGTTCTTGTATTATTTTGTATGATGTTTTGTTCGTTGACAGTCTTCAGTGTAGCTTTATATCGTTATCTCGTTTGTTGGAACAATCTGGTTGTGTTGCTACCTTCACTAGTGCATATTGTGCTATTCAGGACCTCACTTCGAGGACAGTGATTGGAGCAGGTGATCAGTTGGAGGGACTCTATTTTTTTTTAGGGGCAATTGCTGCCAATGCTTCTCGGGTGTCTTCGGTTATGCAGCTCTTGTGGCACCAACGGATGGGTCATTCCTCTTCTACTGTTCTTGGTCAATTGCCTTTTGTTGAGTCTCGCTCCTTGGTCTCGAATAAAACTTGTGATGTTTGCAGTCGGGCGAAGCAATCTCGTGCTAGCTTTCCTCTTAGTCGAAGTGTCAACAGTTTAATCTTCAGTCTGATTCATTGTGATGTATGGGGACCGTATAGAGTTCTTGCCTTCAGTGGTGCTCGATATTTTTTAACTATTGTTGACGACTATTCTCGCGGTACTTGGATTTTCTTATTGGATGACAAATCTTCGGTGTCTTCCACTTTACTGCAATTTTTGTTTTTGTCAAAAGGCAATTTGGTGTGTTGGTTAAAACTGTTCGCAGTGACAATGGGACGGAATTTACTCATATGCGTGATTATTTCCGTCAATAGGGGATTGTTCATGAAACTTTTTGTGTCGGAACTCCTCAACAAAATGGACGTGCTGAGCGCAAACATCAGCACATTCTTAATGTTGCTCGAGCATTACGCTTTCAAGCCCATTTACCGATTGAGTTCTGGGGACATTGTGTACTTGCTGCTGGCTATTTGATTAATCGAACGCCTACTCCTCTTTTATCCGGCAAGACTCCCTATGAACTTTTGTATGGAGAACCACCCAGCTATGCACACTCACGTATTTTTGGCTGTTTGTGTTACGTGCACAATCAGAACAGGGAAGGTGACAAGTTTGCAAGTCGGAGTCGTCGATGTATTTTTGTTGGCTATCCATCTGGTCAAAAGGGTGGTGTGTTTATGATTTGGACGACCACATTTTTTTGGTCTCACGTGATGTGAAATTCTGTGAATCAGAGTTCCCTTATTTGACGTTTCCTGCTCTTGACACTGCCATCGTACCTGAGGTTCCATGGCCTGCTGTTTCTGATGATGATGATACTGTGGTGGTTCCCACTACGACGCGTACCGCTGATACTGGGGGTTCTGAAGTTATTGTTGATAGGGGGGGTAATCCTCCCCAAGAGGAAGTGCTGGGCCGTGGTCATCGTCTCAAGAGGCCCTCTTCTCGTCTTACCGACTTTTTCTCTCACACTATTTGTTCCTCGTCCCCCCACTCTGCCTCCTCAATCACGTCATCGTCTGGTACTTCTTACCCTCTCGCACACTATGTTTCTTGTGATTACTTTTCACCTGCACATAAGTCATTTCTGGCAGCCATTTCTTCTGTTGTTGAGCCTCAGACCTTTTCTGAGGCTGTTCGAGATAGTCGCTGGCGTTCGGCTATGCAACTGGAGATTCGAACATTATAATCGAATCATACTTGGGATATTGTTTCTCTTCCTACTGGGAAACATGCGATTGGTTGCAAGTGGATTTACAAGATTAAATATAACTCTGATGGTTCTGTTGAGCGCTACAAGGCGCGTTTGGTCGTTTTGGGTAACCGGCAGGTGGAGGGCATTGACTATCAGGAGACGTTTGCACCTGTCACCAAGATGGTTACTGTACGAACTTTTCTTGCTGTTGCAGCTGCTCGACATTGGGAGGTTCATCAGATGGACCTGCACAATGCATTCTTACATGGGGATCTGTCTGAGGAGGTCTACATGAAGCTTCCTCCTGGTTTTCATTTGCCTGATCCTGGTAAGGTGTGTCGATTACGCCGTTCTCTGTATGGTTTAAAGCAAGCTCCTCGGTGCTGGTTTGCGAAGCTTTCTTTTGCTCTACGGCACTATGGTTTTCAACAGTCACATTACTCACTGTTTGTTTTTCATCGTGACTCATTGAGTTTACATGTTCTGGTTTACGTTGATGATCTGATCATTTCTGGAAGCTATCCAGTCGCCATTACTGCCTTTAAGGATTATTTGAGTCGCTGTTTTCATATGAAGGATTTGGGTGTTGAAATATTTTCTGGGTATGGAGGTTGCTAGGAATTCTTCGGGCATTTTCTTGTACCAGCAGAACTACACTCTTGACATTGTGACCGAGACCGGTCTACTTGGCGGTAAACCGGTTGACTTTCCCATGGAACAGAATCACCAGCTTCCCTTAGCAGACGGTCCTCTCTTTTCTGACCCCGAGCGTTATCGGTGTCTCATTGGGCGATTGATCTATTTGACAGTCACTCGTCCTGACTTGTCTTACGCGGTTCATACTTTGTCTCAGTTCATGCAGCAACCTCGTCAGGTCCACTGGGATGCTGCTCTTCGGGTAGTTCGTTATTTGAAGGGTACTCCGGGTCAGAGTATTCTTCTTCATTCAGATTGTGACTTGCAGATTTACGGTTGGTGTGATTCTGACTGGGCGACTTGTCCCACTACACGTGGTTCTCTCTCGGGCTGGTTTGTCCAACTTGGTCATTCACCCCAAGAAACAACACACTGTAGCCCGATCTTCTGCCGAGGCCGAGTATCGAGCTATGGCGACCCTTACTTGTGAGTTGAAATGGTTGAAGGGTTTACTTCACAGCCTTGGCGTTGCTCATTCTCAGCCCATGCGGATTCAATGTGACAGCCAAGCAGCTCTGCACGCTGCTAATCCCGTATTTCATGAGCGCACGAAGCATATTGAAGTCGATTGCCATTTTCTTCGTGATGCTCTTGTTCAAGGTCTCATTTCTACCGCTCATGTTTCTACTCATTCTTAATTGGCGGACATCTTCACCAAGGCCTTCGGAAAACGCGAGTTTGATTTTTTTCTTGACAAGTTGGGCATCTGGAATCCGCATGCTCCAACTTGATGGGAGTGTTAGAGTGATTTTGTGAATATTGTATTTTCGGTATAGATAGATTTTGGTATCTTAGAGATTTTGTGTATTTGGTTTTAGGGCTTCCTTTGTATCTATATATTCGCCTTTTGTGAATCTCAGAAAGTAAGGTTTTGTGAAACGAAATAGTGTTTACATATATTGTCAATTTGTCCTGAAGAAGATTTGGATGATTTAGTTTATTATTCTGGGATTGATGAAATAACACTAGGTGCGATGTTGTATTGATTGGATGACGGTATAGAATTTAAGCTTACCATGTTTGGGGTTACTTTGTTAACACGCTAGAGCACAAATTTATTGCTAGAATCCAAGTGTTCTTCAACTGTTTTATCAGGATTTACGTCAGTTATAGAACAAAAATTATATAAGACACATTTGAGCAGTAAAAAGAATATGTGATTAAAGCGAATGAAGGAAAGGGAAGGGAAGATAATTCATATGGTACGGTATACTGGGTTATTGATTTGGGTGTTGCATCCATGTCTTGGTTATACAATTGGGTCATAAAACACATTCTTGTATAAAACGTAAGGTGTATTCTCATTAGGTTCTACATTCTCTTGTTTCCTGTTAACTGTTAGCTTTTGGTTATGGAATTTTATGCTATTAAATTAATTCAATGCTAGAATTTTTTCATTAATATGGGGTATAAATGACATGTCGCGAAGAAACAAAAAGAACTTCATTTTTGGTTGAAACAAAATGACTGCTTCCTTCTAAATGTGGGCTCTCAAGAGTTGATTTCTCGATAACCGACATAAGACGAAAGACGTAAAAACAGCTAATGAGAGTAATGCAAATTACCAGTTTCTATCTAACTTTTGACCTTGCAGTTGAAGCTAAAAAACTATAATTGTGTTTCTTTCGCACCAGATAACTTGGAGAACAAAGGCTATCTATCTGTACTTTTCCTTCCTGTTGACTTGCACAAGTTATCACCTCAGTATATACTTTGACATACGTGAGCTTAGTTTAGTTTAGTTCTCTTTCCAGTTGCTGTGGTGGTTTATTCAGTTTGTTGATGGTTTCTTCAGTCCTATATATGAAAGACTTGGCATCGACGTATTTGGTGAGTCTTTGTTACTTGTGTAACAGGGTACATGCTGTCTTACTTATTACTTAGTTTTTCTAGTTTAATATACCTAAAATGAAATACCCACAGTGCTGCGGGTGTTTAATAGAGCAACTGGATATGAACTTATTATTAATTGGGTTTCTGCTCTTCTAAGTTGAAACTTTTTTCTGTTTATTTCAGAGAGATGATAGGGATGAAGAATTATGCTCGGTTTACGTGCCTACAAATCATTTGTACATTGGAGATGTCTTTCTTGTTAACTCTAAAGAGATTTATCCGCCCCAATTTATCCATTCGAGAAGGCATAGGTAGGTCTTGTACCAAACAGTTTTTAATCACAAGACACACTGATTGCTTACCTAAAAGTGAAATATGAGAAATACCCTTGCTTTTGCTTTTCATATGGATTCAAATTGGAAATATCAAAGGCTAACACTTTCTGCCT